CCAGGACGTGGCCATGGCCATCCCCACTCATCTTGGCAGTCTTGGCCAAATGGATGCAGCTCCTGGGCTCCAGCACTGCACACTTGTTCCCATCTGCACTTTGGGACACTCAGCCCAAGGCTCTGGGCCCAGCCCTGCACACACTTCTCACCCCACCACACTGGGCACTGACACAGCCCGGCCTTCTTTGCATTCTCTGGCATCACGCAATGCTTGTGTCCAACAACCCTGGACACCTCCAAAGCCTCTTGCTGACCCTCAGACAGAAAAGATGCCCAGAGAAGGGACCTCACTCCCTGCCACTCAGCCCAGGACAGGGCCCAAAAGGCCACAGGAATCAAAACCTTAAAAGCAAGAGGGGCACCAAAAGCCCCCCAGAGCACAGTCAGCAGGAAAAGTCAGGTCCAGTGTCAGGTTTAGCCAGGTGGAAGCAAAGGGGAGAGGAATGGAAGGGGAGGGAAGGGGCAACACATGTGAAACTCCAGAGCAGCCTGATAGGGCTGGGATGCTTTGGGGCCCCTCCTCACAACACACCCCCAAACAACAGCACACCAGAGATAAGGGGGGACCTCACTCATCACACCCCACCTCTCCAAAGCTTTGCTCACATCTTCAGCCCTCCCTGACACGCACCATCAACTCCAGCCTTTGCCCTCTAATACTCACAGTTCAAAGCTGCTGCCAAGGTCAGATGGACACAGCCGCAAGGGCAGGACGTGGAATCACAGAATTCCACAAAGCAATGTTCCTACCATGACACAAGAGGAGAGAGGAGCCCACTGAACAATCACTAGTAATTATAATTTTTTGTTCACAGGTACAGGATGTTACAACTTACAGGTTCAAAGTTAGGAAACCTCATGGCTTGAATGCGGAAGAAGGGAATTGGCATCACAGACCAGCCAGGGCAAAAGGGGATGGAGCCCCATTGGGTCTTTGTTTATTGTATTTATTTAGGAGGTCAAAAAATAAACTTTAAATGACCAAGTACCTTGTCATGAAAATTTCAGAAATCCAAATGGACCACAGGAATGGAACCTGACCAGCCTGAATTCAGTCTGAGCAGCCTCAAGTTTTCCAGGTCCTCTCTCTTGATCTCAATCACGATTCCAGGGGATGAGCTCTCTGCAATCCCTCAAGAATTGCTCCAAAGGACTCTGACCTTTCCAAGTTGATAGAGAGTGACCTCCCCAGGGCATCAAATGACTCTCTCAGCATTCCTGGGTACAACAAAATGACTGACAGACATCCAGTCACATAGAACAAGAGGGGGCCCAGTCAGCACAAAGCACCCACAAACCACAGCACACGACGGCCACAAAATCACCTCACTGATGACATCACACCTCTCCTGGGCACTGCTTGTTTCTTCAGCCTTCCCTGACACACATCCAACAATCCAACCCTCCCAAATCCCAACTCCTCAAAGCTGCCGCCAGCTGACGGGGCTGGGCCAAGGCTGTGCCGCCCCTGTGGGAGCAGCATAAAAGCCGGCCCAGCGCCTCTCTCCCTCACACCCTTCTCCTCAAGCCTTCTCCTGCCTTCTCTGCCCATAACCAGGTGAGCCTCCAGCCCCTCACAACCCCCTCCTGCTCCTGACACACCGCCCCCCTGGCCCCTCTTGGCCAGCACGCTCTGCCCCAGCCTCAGCAGCCCTCACGCCTCCCCACAGCCCCACACCAGCCTCCCCACTGCCCAGCCCTCCTGCAACACCGCCCCGAGCACCCCCAGCGCCCGCAGCTGCCTCACACCCCTCTCTGCTCTCCCCTTCTCTTCTCTTCTCTTGCCTGCCCTCCCAGGGCCCCTCCACACCACACCCATGGCCTGCTACGACCTCTGCCGCCCCTGCGGACCCACCCCGCTGGCCAACAGCTGCAACGAGCCCTGTGTCAGGCAGTGCCAGGACTCCACCGTCCTCATCCAGCCCTCCCCCGTCCGCGTCACCTTCCCAGGGCCCATCATGACCTCCTTCCCCCAGAGCTCCTTCGTTGGATCCACCGCAGGGGCTGCCCTGGGCACGGAGCTCAACGTCCAGGGACAGCCCATCTCCGGCGGCTTTGGCTACGGAGGCTACGGCCTGGGCTATGGCCGTGGCTTTGGCTACGGCCTGGGAGGCCTGGGCTGCTACGCCAACAGGGGCATTTACGGCACCTGCTGAGGCCACAAACAACTGCCCCAACACCAACCACCCAGCACCTGGAAGTCACCACATGGAATAATGATTCATCTCCACCCCAAGGCTCTCCAATGGGCTCAGCACTTCCAGCTCCTGCTCTCAGGGTTCCAAGCAAGGAAGTAGCCAAGGGGCCAGCCTGCGCTGCCTGCAAACATGGCCCAGCTCCCTCCTCCTCTTCTCCCCCTTCCTTCTCTCCAGCACCCCTTCAGCTCTGGACAGTCCCCTCTGCTGCAAACCCCTTCTCACAAGCCACACACCAGCGGCCACCTCCGCTGGGCTGCTCCCAAGAAGGGGAGCAGCAAGATCTCAGGACTCTCCAAAAATCTCCTGCAAGGGAGGGACCTCAGCTGATGGTCGCCCTATTTGTACCTCAGACCGGATCCCTTCCCCTGGCTGCTCATTTCTATTTTTCTCTTTAGTCTCAATAAAGTTCTCCTGCATCACAGCCTCTGATGTCTCCTCTTAATTTTTTCTTCCAATTGTCTCACAAGCTTAAGGAGTACAACACCGGGGCTCAAGAGGCCATCAGGGTTGGTGGAAAAGGGCCACAAGACCTTTCTGAACAATTGTGCCACCAGCACTAACACACAGACTGGCACAGGGTGGGGGGCCTTCCAAAATATGGGACAAACCCATAACCTACACCAAAGGCTTCCACACAACAAGGCTCTCCTGCACACACCTCTGCCAAATTCTCTCTATTTCAACACACACTACACAAACTCTCCTCCCCACCAGGACTCTCAAACCCTTCAGCAAACAGAGTTACAAGATCATTCAGTTTGGCAAAAACTCTGGAGAGCAAGTGCTTCACCCCTCTTCACAAGCAGAGCCAGAGAGAGCAGGATTTCCAGTGCTGTAGCCAGTTCAGTTTTAGATCTCTCAGGATGGAGACTCCACAACCTCTTCCACACTATGAACACCCTCAAACTGCCTTCTTTGACCATGGAATTCCATTCATTTTCACTTGTGCTCATGGCCACCTCTTCTCCTACTGGGCAGGATTCTCAAGAGCCAGGCTCCCTTCCCTGCTGCCATCACGGATTCATACACGCCTCAGATGACCCAGGGCACATTTTTGACTCCTGACTAAGTGCTCCCAACTCTCTCACCCTCTCCACTTATGAAAAGCTCCTGCACCCCT